TGCCTTGGCGGTGTCAATTTTTTTGGCCACCGGAATCTATTGGCAAGCAACATAATTTAGCGATAGGTGTTCCGATAATTTATAAAAGTAATTTTGCAATAAAAATAAAGAAATATTAATGTGAAATCAAGAAAATATTTATAAAGCTATCAGTAATGCATAAAAATAAAAAATGTATTTTTTTTTCAGTTAAAAAAAAGAAAGGATTTTTCATTTTGTTATATGATAGTAGATACAAATCCAAAAATTCCGCTAAAATACTCAGTCAAACCAAACACGTGGGAATTTTTTTAACGTATTGTCATGTGTTTATGACGTCAAATGAATCGAGTCCTTACATACCAATTTTACTTTCCAAATAACTTACTAAAAAGTGAAATAAATAAATACGTATAATGCAGTTCTTAGAATTAAAACACACTTCTATATTTCGATTAATTAAATAACAGCCGCCAACCAGTATGGAGGTTATGACACTCGCCTTGTAATCGAGAGAACTCAGGTTCGAATCCCGAATAAGGCATGGGTGTATCTTCGGGAAAGGAAGCCCGACTTTCGCCTGAAATAGATTGATTCCCGTGTCCCGAATGGCAAGAAGTGCGCCCCTTATGTTCTATGCTGGGATTGTTGTTTGTAATCAAGTCTATATTCTTCTGTGATTGTATAGTATGTGTTCATTGTCTTTCGTATATATCCTGAATGAAACTCACGACAACAACAATTATATAAAGATATAATTTTTTAATGTGCATAAATTTTTAGTAGTAGGTAACGATTATGTACTTAAATTGTATAAAGTATTGTTTCAAATCCATGTCCTTTTTAATGGTTAAATGCTTTATAATAGTTTTTATTGCTCTTAAAACATTTAAAAATCTTTAGTGAGGTGAAATTTTTGAAGTTTTCTGCTGTCTTTTTCAAATTGGTATGCTCTTTAGTCCATATTGATCTAGTTGTTCACCGTCGTGGTTAATGGATCATGAAGCTTTTAACCTCCTTTGTAGAAAATTTAGCAACGGAATTTTCCTCAAGATGTTTTTTTATAAACAAAATTTACTCAATATTGTGATAACTTCTGCGTAAAAGCAAATATATGATATAATAGTAATTGGGAACTATTTCTTACCACAAATTAAATCCAGAAAACGATTTTTTAAATGTCCTTGTGATTTGAAAAAGAATTTCTGATTATACTCAAATTATTAATCCTAAAAATAGCTGCTATGTATATTACTTACTATATTACTTAAGTTCCTTAAACTATATATGCTAAATTATATTTCCAAAGTTTGTTGTTAAACACATAGTTTACTTATCACTTATAGAGAGAGCGAATACGAGTATAAGACTTCTCAACCAAAAAATAAAATTGTTTGCTTTTTTTTCTTTCTGATATTGCAATAAAATTTCTAATTTTAAAAACCACATTGCAACAATACAGTGTAGTCTTACTTTAAATATATTCCAATTTAAGATAATTTTCATATAATGACCACATAACTTTTAAGTTCTGATAGACATTCTTTAAAAAAAGGTTTTGAGATCAATGTTTATCAATGACTCCCTTCAGCATTGTAACATCTTTTTCCACATGTATTTTTGTCAAGTACTATTCTGTTTTAATTTAAGTTTTACACTCTCTCTCTCTCTCTCTCTCTCTCTTCACCTAAAACTTATAAACCTTTTGTCTATTTTGAAACTTGAAACAACAACATACTAACCATTCATAAAAGTTCACACAAGAAGGTATGAAGCTCCTAATCCATACATATATATATACAATGTCACTCAGCCTTTTATAATTCATACCATGAAGTTTGAAAAAAAACTTGTAGGACCATTAAAAGGCGGTAAAATTGAATAAAAATTTATTTCTTCCTTTTTAAAGCTTTGTCGCATAGACTCTTGTGGGAAGAGGGTATTCGTAATTCCAGTAACCTTTTATTACTCTTCGAATACACAGAAAAAGGTTTTTCCTTTTCCTTCCGCTCATCTGTAAGGGTTGTAAAAGCGCTCAAAATTCTACTCTCTCTGAGTGCTGCGAACTTTTATGATTTAGTCTTAAAATTTTATTAGATCTGTGGAATATATCAAAAGCCCTTTATTGGGACGTATCAATAAATGGAATATTTTAAGCTTCAAACTTTTTAGGTATTTGCTTGGAGGAATTTGAGAATCAATGTTCATCCCAAATCCCAAAAATTTTACTCTACTTCGCTTTCCATAAACTTCGAAGTAAAAAATAAAAGAAAGGTTTTGATTCTTTTTGAAGGTGTGCATCCTTCCTTTTTGAAGTTATAGCGTCGTTGAGTAAAAATCTAAATGTAATTTACTTGTACAGAAACTCGTTAACTTTAACTAATGCTAAACACTCTTTTCCTGTTTTCTTTGTGACCTGATTGTGAGCCAAAGTGAACAAGGGAGTTTCAGCGTTAGAAAATCAATTCCTTCGAGTAAAGAGCTTTTGTCGTTTTTGAATGTATTTGCTTCAAACTCGTTCTAAAGAAGGAAAATCAAACTAATTTTTGTGGAGGATAATACTGGGATAAATTTCAGTGGTAAGCATTGACTTTCACACGAAAGCTTTATATCCAAGTGGAAAAGTTTGCGTGAACACATGCTACTAATTATAGATTTCAATGCTTTTTCAAAATCTTTAGCTGACTGTACCTGGAATACATTTTTTCCTCCTTTTTGTTTGTCTCTATATGTATAAATACATAATAATTTAGTTCTGATTATTACCCTTAGTATTAATGAAAGCTAATTCTTACTCTAGTTTGCTTTCCTTGCAATCCAGTTGTTTGGCCAAATTACAGGGGAAGGTTGGCTGGACTTTAAACTATGTTTAACCCTGCAATCTTAAATCTTAGTCCCTATGGTGAAGAGAGTTTGTTACTGTACTACTGAGAGAGGAATCTTTTGGAATATACTGTCTTATAAGAATTCCTATTTTTTTTTATTCAACTACTATTAGTTCACACTCTCCCTATATATATATATATATGAGTGAGTGGGTGAATATTAACGTCGCACTGTTCAGCTATACGAGGGCTTTGGACGGCGGAACTCGTAATTTTGAACCATGGTCAAGTGACGGAGACGACACCTGAACTCGCACTCCATCTCCCAACTACCAAGCCAATAGGAGGACGTTTGAGCTCTAGACAGATTCAACATGCACCGCTGCCCTACAAGGAGGGTCTTTAGTGGTACTGGGCTCGAACTCATGACATGCCTGTCATAACCAGATACCTTCACCACTTGGCAACCACACCCTATATACAGGGTGTCCAGACTTAATGTGACCCAATAGCTAATTTCCGAGCCGTTCGGTTTAGATATACACTTCCAATGGGAAAAATGTTTTAAGAAAGGTAAAGAATGTTTTTACGTGCTTTACCAATCAAAAAACCCATTTAGAAAAATTTACAAAAATTTAATTTTTATATGGTCTTCAGGTCCTATCACTTATATTTAGGAAAAGATGCAGTGCACAAAATCAAAGTAAACATAAAAAGTTTCATTTTATTACAATAAAAACTGACCGAGTTATGCCTGCATAAAATTGAAGCATCTGAATTGCTCAGAAAAGAGGGTCGTATATAAATTGAGTTTAGAGAGCAGTAATTCATTATATACAGAAAGAGCAAAAAAAAACATTGTACTAAACATCATAGATTGACAATTTGTATTGCTGTATGGCAAACAATAAGAATTAAATAAAAGAAATACAACTTGTACCGAAAAGATTAAAATACCTTCTTTTAACAAATAGCAACAAAATAATACAAGATTTGGCGTTTAAATTATAGAATAATGTAAAATGATGCACCAATCATGAATCAGGGGCTTTATTATATCAGAATAATCAAATTAACTTAAATAATGGTGAAGGCACGAGACAGGGAATACGTCTATTGCAATTCCCAGTTTTAAACAAGCGCTGAACAGCACGGGCAATTGTGCAATAAGAGGGATGTCATCGAGTGGGAAATTTAATGGCATAAAGTCTCACCGCCTCTCTCTTATTTCAATTACACTGCCCATAAAACAGTACCATTTCGCAGTATTCTTCATTTGTATACATCTCGTTCTCCCGTACTAGAATTCGTAATATTAGAATAAGACTGAATGCAATTGCAAGCGACTACACAACAGATTTTTAACGTTCGTCATGATCAGCAAAAAGGCAGCAAATCAGACTGAAGCCACAGCATATTTTTTTTTTTTTTGGAACTGTTTTTGAAATGTTTTCTTCGTCCAAAATATTTTATTTTTTCTACGTTTTACACGTACACAGAATAAATTTTATTTCTTAAGTTCTCAATTATTGTATTATTAACGTATGCTTTTAAATTTAAAAACGATTTACAAAAAAGTGACGTGTAAGAGCGAACGTTTTCTGGCAGAGTTCCAACTAATTTCACTTTGGAGAAAGCCCCTTACTAGCTTCTTGAAAATGGCCAAGAAAATAGATAAAATATATGTTTTTTAAAGTTCCAAACTCGGCTAGTTTTTATCGTAATAAAATGAAACTTTCTGTGTTTACTTTGTTTTTGTGTACTGCATCTTTTCCTAAATATAAATGGTAGGACCTGGGGACCGTATAAAAAATAAATTTTGTAATTTTTTTCTAAATGGGTTTTTTGTTCGAAAAGCACGTAAAAACATTCTTTACCTGTTTTAAAACATTTTTCAAATTGAAAGTGCTTATCTAAACAGAACGTTTGGGGAATTAGCTATTGGGTTACATTAATGCTGGACATCCTGTATATATATATATATATATATATATCCTGTCCAAATTTTTAGTCGTTAATAAGATACTTCCTGTTCATTATTCAAGCTCAAATACATTTCTTAAAAGTTGTAGCAGATGACACCTGATGTTAATACAGTTTTTTCAAATATTAAATCATTAGTTAAATTAAAAAATGAATAAATAGTAACAAACAAAAATAATAGTCGAACAGCATATGTAGAAAGAAAAATTGTTTGTTGTGGATAATGGATAGCGCGTTGGATTTCTAATCCAAAGGTCGTGGGTTCAAATCCCACCTGAAGTGGCCTAATTTCTGAGAACGTGTTTTCTTTTTTTACTATACAATTTTATTATAATAATTAAATTTAATGAATGAATAAATAGTAACAAACAAACAAAAATAGTCCAACACTATATATAGAAAGGAAAACGGTAAATTGCGAGGAAAATCGCTTTCTATTTTTCCCTTAATATTGTGATTCTTTCATATGTATATACTATTTATATTAATTGTAACTATTTAATAAAAAACAACTAAAATAAAATGTTTCTTTGTTGTTGACCAAAGTAGAAATTGACTTAAAAATTTTTTTTTCATATTACTTGTTATAATTCTTACTGCAATTTAGTAAACGATTATTGATGCAGTGTGTGTGTGTGTGTGTGTGTGTGTGTGTGTGTGTGTGTGTGTGTGTGTGTGTGTGTGTGTGTGTGTGTGTGTGTGTGTGTGTGTGTGTGTGTGTGTGTGTGTGTGTGTGTGTGTGTGTGTGTGTGTGTGTGTGTGTGTGTGTGTGTGTGTGTGTGTGTGTTTTAAATTTTCACAATTTTTTGACAGATCGTTCTTTAATTTTAAATGTAGAATTACGTTTTAATTCGTTCCATTTTGTAACGGATTTTAAATTTTACATAAAAATTCATTTTTACGTTTTAATTACGTTCTTTAGCCACGAGTGTCAAAATGTTTGTCATTCATAAACGGACACAGAGTGGAGTTTAAAATAATCTAGGCTCTACTTTAAAAAATATAAATCAATGTGTTTATTAATTATGAATATTTAACCAAGAGAATTAGTTTTTTAATCCTTTTTGTGATATACACAGTTTACTTGTGTATATATAATCGAAATTTATCTCTCTGCATCCGAATGTTTTCACCATTAAATTCACTAGAACAATTAAGAATGTGTTTTATTTTAAATAAAACCGTTTCAAAATGAAAACTGAAGCACAGAATCCCTTGTGAATCTTATTACCATAATAAATAGTAAACCCATTAACTCCTGCGCGCTGAATGAAACAAAGTCGTTAATTTATTTTGCACATTAAACTCTCATTGAGATAAATCATTTTGAATTTAATCTTCATTGAAGTCGTAGTTTCTGAGATGTTACACAGAATATAAAGGCACATTCCAATCTCATCTTGATATGAGTAGCAAAAAAATAGTTTTGAAATACCACTATCTCCTGATGAACATTAAACTCAGATCAGAGCTAAAATACTTAAAAGATATTTTAAGTTTAGTCCATTTATCACAAATATCTCATTTTACTTACTTTTCGAGAGACTAATTACCATTCATTATTCAACTCCAGTAATTGAAGAGTAAATAATTTTGTGCTCCGATTACACAGTGAATTAACACTTATAATAAAAACTAAGTAATTATATTTTTAATTTTATAAATTGATTTTATCAAAAATATTGGTCATTAGTAGATTATATGCAGTATGTGCACACATTGTAGATATTATTTATAAATTAAACTTTAAAGTCTACTAATACTTACATTTTCGATTACTGAGAAATATCTTCCTTTGTTTTGCATTATCATTTAGTGTATTAACACTAGAGAAATAAATTTTTAAAAACTCTTGGTGATGTTAGGAGTTAATTATCCAAAGTCATCTTATTTCCAAACGTTTAGTTTACGTTTTTAATTTAGTATTTAGTAAATAGTTGTAACGAATATTTTTAAGAGATTTTTTAATATTTTCGTTCTATTAAATAGGATACCAAAAAAATATTTTTTTGGAGCAATATTTGTTTGTCCCATAATAATAAAACAGAATTTCATATCTGAAAAATTACAATTTTTTTGTGAGCAATTAATTATTACTTTTAAAATGTAGCATTTATTTAAAAAGGAAAGATGAGATAATTGTGCATAAAATGATAAACTTTCGAAAAACACTGAATATAAATTCATTGCATTCTCCTCATTATCACAAAAAAAACAGTAAAATGTGAATCTTAATGAAATATTATGGAGAAGAATTAACTATATCCATTACCTCTTATTTCCACGTACATAGAACTTTACATTTTCTCTTGTAAACGAATCTCTTGTGAGGTGTTGATCAAACATTTTTGTTATATGAAATAAGAATACCAAAAAATATATTGGTATATATATATATATATTGATAAAAATATATCGGGGCAATATTTGGTTGTCTCACGATTTAAAATAGAATTTAATTTCCAAAAAATTACAAGTATCGAGTAATTCATCGTACTTTTAAAATGTAGTACCTTTTAGAACGTATGAAAGATTAAATACCTGCATGGAATGCTAACCTTTTAAAAAACCCTGAATATAACCTCCTCAGTTTGTTTGTATTACATGTGACACACAAAAGTTTCATAATTTTTTGTGAAGGCTGAACAGCAAAATTTGGACCGGTTGCATCACATGAAATACCAAAGTGAAATACCTCATATAATTTCCTTCTTTAGTTAATACATGGCACTACCTGTCCATGATAGAGATTTCTAGCAGCGTCTCTGAATCAAAATAAGATGTGTGCACGTCATCGAAGTAAGTATTTTTTTTTCTTATTTATATACGCATGTTAAACTATTTTTAAAGTATGCTTTTTCTTTGTATATGTACGCTTTACTAGTTAACAACAAAAAAAGAAATTTTTAGTGAAGTATTAAAGCGCAATGACTAGTGAAACTTGCTTTGCAACACTTGCAATACAATGGAACCCAATAACATATGAACATACTTTTTAAGTCCGTTTTAGTTTTTAGTTATATTTTGTGGGGATTTGAAGATTGATAGTAGTATTCCTTGAGTTAAAATCTTTAGTTGAGGTGTTTGCTTTTCATTTTTACCCATTTTTTTCTGATAATTTTTTATTTAATAAGTATTTTTTAATGAAATATTTGGCACCATAGATGAAATTTTAGAGCTGATGAATCGCGATGATTCTGATTTGAGTCCAATTTGAGGAATGAGAAGTGCTCGGGCTTAACAACTGTACTATGTACAGAATGGAAGGTTTTTCTATGCTTTACAGCTACTAGAAATAGTTTCAAGGCATTTCATGAAAATGAAAATTTATGTTATTGTAATTATACTACTAATACGTACCTAAAAAGTCAATAAAACTTAATTTCCAGGTTGAATTTATGAATCGTATATATTGTGAGATTAAAGACTAAGATTAAATTAATTACTTCAATCTGGCTTAATATATAAAAAAATTCTGGTTGTAGTGTCTTGTTCCTGATGTATCACACACGCGTGATACATCCCAGCTTCTATAAATTTAAAAAAAAAAAAAAATTTTATTGCACTTTTCTACATCAGAGTGATTAAAACAACTATTGAAATACCTCTTACAAAATATCAAACTTTTATTTTTGTCTCGGGTCTGAGGAGGTTAAATTTGTTGCAATCCTTATTAAGACCGGGAAAAAACAGGAAAATGTGAATCTTAATGTAATTTAGATGTTAATTTGTATTTAATCCCAGATCCAAATTCTCTTATTAACATTATTAGTTACATTTCATAAGAAACCACTACCACATATTTCAGTTTATTATTAAAGAAAGGAAAAGCAAGAAGAAATTCCGTTTGTTTACCCTGTGTACGTTTGGTATGCAAATGTTTTAAAGGGAGTCATTAAGAAAATAATGATGTAAAACGATCACGTAATATTTTAACGATGTATATAAATTCTTGAATGTCAAGTTGTTGGCATATTAATGCCCTTTCTCAACATTTAAGGACTGAGTGTAAGCAGTCTTCCCCAGCTTGATGCATTTCCAAGATAAAATCTGCACATTTAACAGCTCATAAAACAATTTACGATTCTCTACTTGCTTACGTACCTTAGTTTTATGAATTATGACTTCACTACAAGTAATTCAACACTTTATTAATAGTTTTATTTCAGTAATTATATTACTTAAATAGGTGTATGAAGCTTTTGTGAAAATCATAAATAGAAATAATTTTCTTTATTTTTTAATATAACGATATCATCCGTACCACCGTTATTTACGATACAAATGTAAGCCCCCAAAGCATATTCCAATTTGAAATAATTTTCCATAAATATATAACATTATGATTTCTTAGAGAGAATATTACTCTCGTTATCTTAAAAATCTAAGATATAAGTTTCTAGTAATATATTAATCATCAAGAATGTGTATAAATTTCTAAAAAAAAATTTAATTTTTTCATACTCTATCTCAAGTAATACATTTAGTTGTATGTGAAAATGATAATAACTGCAATGATAGATTTAAAAATATATGATTGAGTTGCTTATAATTTCAAAATAATATGGGAATAATGTGATTACTACATTCAATAGGAAGATATTTAACTGTTTATGTAAAAATAAATAACTAAATTTTAATGTAGTGCGCGTGTTAAAATATTTATAAAGCTTCTATCTTTATTTATAAAGGAAGGAAATCCTCATTGTTACACATCACATAAAACTTTTTTTTTTAAAGTTCAATTTTTTCGTGACAAATACGTTTTTAAAAATACCTTAAAATCAGAATTTTTATCCCCTTGCAGATAATTATAGTGACTTAGGAAATAAAAATATTTTTAATATATATTTCTCTCTAATTCTTAATAAATATACATGTAATAACATATAATTTACATAAGGAAATTTAACTTATAAATCGTATTTATTTTAGTAAGTAACTACTACTTCTCTCCACATAAATTTATTGTGTTTTATGTAACTATGTCACTTTATTAACCTCTTAAGCGGTCAATGTTTTTGCCCAAAATGTTCCAAAACAAGGCACTTTTTTTATTGCATGTTACTAGCATAATATTTAACACAGAATGCGAAAATGGAAGAATTCTACTTTAATTTTTCCATTTTAAAGTTTTTTCACTATTTTTTTTATTTTATAATTGTGGAACACAAAAAAAAACCTAAGTGTTTGCTTTTTATAAGTACACTATGCATGCTGTGAAGAATGTTTCATATATCTTACAAGAATTTCTATCGAAGAATGTTTCATACATCTTAAAA